ATTTTCGAATAGTCGCGAATCACCTGCGAACGGCCCTGACCCTCATTTTACCGTATAATGTTCCATTTACATTCGGACGTTAAAAAACGAGAAAAAGATCTCCAATCTTCGATATTTTATCAGAGCAACCTTTCACGATTTTCTTAATAATTTATTTTAATCAAAACGAATTAGATGTTAACGAGATTTTCTTAGAACATGTCGTACACTTTGCGTAATGACGTTAAAAAATGCAAAATTCTGCTGACATTATTCGCAGTGTCCGATTAGCTAATCTATGTGCATTGAACGTGCATTAATTTATTATATCTAGCATCGTCCATCATTCCCAACAGCGTTCGTTTCTTAACAAGAAACAACCATCGGTCTGACAGCGTTATGTGTGAGAAAATAAGACGAAAGGTCATCTAATAAATACGCTTATATCGTGATCAATGTAAATGTCTCTTCGTGCTTGTTAACGTCCATCAGAAAAAAGCATTATTCTGTCTCTCCAAAAGTCATCCGTGTCATCAATAACAATTGAAATTAATTTTGTAGTAAATTATTTTCAATTATTTTAATATAATAATTAATAAAATTTAGATAATTTAACTTAGATTAAAGAAGATATAAATCTTTTTTTTGTTAATATATAAGCGTTAAACAATGTTATAAATTTAATTTTTAAATTAAAAGACGAACGATGTGAAAAACTAAAAATTATGTTAAATAAAATATAATAAGTTTACTATGTGTTTACTGAATGATTTGCATAAAGTCTAAACAAATATTTATCGATTTTTTTTACTTATTTGTGTCACTTATAACTCTCTCAAGTAAAAACGTCTATAAAATCCAATGTTATGTCATAGCAATATGAAAATTTACAGCGGGGAATGCAATATATAGCCACGATCCACTCGATCCATGACGATCTACGACCATTAATGATTACCGTGCAATTATCTTCCAGCCGAGTCTGCTAAATGTGTGAAAGCATCTGCCCACCGAGAAAAACGTCAAAGGCCTCCCGATTTTTTCGTCTTGTCCCTTTCACGCTTTCCTCTTCTCCCTCGTCGTTAGATCGTTTCATAGATAACCCACGGAGAAGACGAGAACATTTTTCTCGTTTATTACATCACCACTGCATGCTCGGAGGATTCGCTCCTGCCATCATTCAGTCGCGCGAACTCGAAGCCGCAGGGATCTTCGCGGGATGTCGTCCTTCGTGGTGAGGCTCCAAGGCCGGCGAAGGAAAATATTTGTTATCACACGATAAAGCACACGCGATTTTCAGTTGCAGAGGAGATGGTGCGATCTTCTGTGCTTGCTGTGCTATCTGCTCGTGCAACATCATGCCACCGCGGATGATATCAGGCCTTACGAGTTCTCCTTCAACATTGTCGATTTTCAACACAGATTTGAGAAGAAAGGTATACCAATCGAAAAAAGTGTCATGAGCGACGTTCTTATTGTTATAAATAATTAGTGAACTAAATAATTCTCGATAAATAATAAGATTAAATATGACTTTTTTGTCTATTTCTTTGTTGAGACGCCGAGGGACTTATTACCGGGGAATATGGCTTTATCACAGCCGATGGTGTTTACCATGAGACTGGATATAAGACCGACAAAAATGGGGATTTCATTATCACAAAACAAAGGAACCGAAAAATAACGAGTCGTAAGTTGCGTGCTTATTGAAGTAATAAACTTTATGTATATTCCGCGCGCTCTAAATCTAAACGTTTCGTCTTGGCTCAACAAGTGAAGGACGCGCAAGAGATATTCAAGGATAGACCGGAAGCAGCGAAAAAATTAATCGAAGCCATAATGAAAGCCTGCAGCGGCTGTAAAATACCAATAAAGCAAGAAAATGATCGACCAAAACCTGTGAAAACAGTCACGGAGTTGCCGCTACAGAAGAAGATGGAGCCGATATTGAAGCAGATGATGAAGATATTAACAGGTAGGAAGAACAAAAAAGAATCTGTGAGCGTTAAATTAGATAATATCATAATTATACGCGTAAATTCATACTCCTCAATTTTTCAGCCAATACGTCTATTAAGAGTTTCTCAGAAGGAAAAAATAAAATCATCAAAAAGGAAGACATCACAAAAAGCATGGTGCGAGCTGCGAAAAAGCTGCTATCCGAAGGAGATAAACTCACCGTGGATGATCGAGTCCTGGAGAAAATGGCAGACGATCTGTACTATCAGTTCAACTATACGATAACGTCGCATGGTCATCACGAGGACGGCTATCGTAGCGGAAGGAAGAGCGGTAGCTATCGATCTCAAAATGAAAACGGTATCGACACGGAGGTGAGGTATTTGTCAAACGAATTCGGGCATCAGCCCAACATTACGTTCATTCCGCAGGCTATTGCGGCTGATGAGAAACATGGTCTCAAAGGATACTTGTTTCGTTGGTATTGGTCGTAAATTCGCAACTTTATATGTAATTGCGATTTTACTTTAACCAAGATTTATTACTTATAAATATGCTAACATTTATTTAAATAGTATGAGCCATGTCTAGAAATTCGCAATTTTCGAGTTTTGAGGTTTATCGTTACTTAGGACAAAATAATTTATTGCGCATAAAAAATAAATAATTCATTGAAATAAAAATAATTATTGTATATATATATATATATATATATATTCTGATAATATCTCCTGTATAAAATGAAATAATTTATTTTCGAAAATGTAATTTTATTCATTATTTTTCAATTATCCTGGACATGGTTTTTTTTTATAATATGCATTTACGAACTATAATTTAGATTATGTTATATTACAAATTCAAACAAATAAAAATATTACAAGTACATTTAAGTAAATAACATAATATTTAACATTCAAGTAAATCAAAATATTACAATAAAAAATCTTTGTAAATTTACGCGATTTCTCTCTTGATTTATATGAAACCTTCAAACACCAAAAATAAGTCTTAAAGTGTATGTGTGTGATTAGTTCCTCAGATTCCTCAGTTTCTAACAGGAATAAAAACGGTATGAAAGCAAAAATGTAGCCAGACTAGTCAAATTGGTTAAGCTAATCTGTAATTAATAAAATATCATCAAATTTACACATTTTTTAAATTTTCTACGTAGAAAAGTTAATACTTGTTGTATTAACGTAATAAAACTATTGTTTGTACATATGTATATCATCTTGTCAAGTATTTATTACTTTGCATCAACCAGATGGTTCAGAGATTATTACTAGAATGACTCGAAATTCATATTCGAGGGGTAGCAAACCGTGATAAAACTGTCACATAAATAACGAGATAACGGTAACGATAGTATAACTATGATGTTCGCATTTCTGACAAAGCACGTTACACTCAGTTTGCATGGTTATTCTTTTTCTCGAGTTACATATGTACATATCAGAGAGGGTACTCTGCATGTGTGTAAAAAAAAATTAAATTCTTAAAAACAAACATATTAAATGGTTGATTACAGAGACCTTTGCGCGGATAAGCCATATTTTGTTTCATTATGACAGATTACATACAATTTTACATGTATGCGATTTAACGTAATGATATTCACGCGCTACTACGCTTATTACATCATGTAATTGATGATTAAAAGACGACGCGGGCAAAATACGGAAAGGGCGAATGTAATCATAGTGAAAGGTAAGGCGAAAATTTCCGATGGTTGATGCATAATTCAAGAAACCGGCTACATGTTCCGGGACTGTGTTAATTAACGGCACAAAAGTCATTGATACACGTTGTGACAGTCGAGTTGTCACAACGCGCACGTGATTACGAGTCTCTGAACTTCTGGAAAGCAGATTGCTATTCTTATGATAATTAAACGAACGTTAATAATTTTTTAATTTTTCCAGTGAAAGCTTGTAGACAAGATGGACTTAAATAAACAGTATCAGTATACTCTCGAGATAATTAAATATGATATGAGTAAACGGAATAAACTTGATAAGAACGTATAGTGATAAATGTTTTTGAATATACATATGAGAGATACTCAAAAATATATTCAACAAAAAATCAGCGATTCTCTCAGGCATTTTTCAAAAGCCTATTTCATTTTATGATTTTATTCCTCTTTGTTCTCGAAACGACGATAAAAATCAGAATTAGGTTATCAAGTAAAATTTTTGTCGGTCCATATACTGTTAAACGCGTGTGCCAAGTTGCTCGTAGACTACTTTTAAAAAAATCACGTATCACAATCCAAATTTTGTTCAGTTTTTTAATTGTTTAATTAAACATAGATACTCTTTATTTTTTCTAATTTTTAAAACTAAAAAAAATAAAAAGATAATTAAACTAAAATTAAAATTAAATCACATTGACAGAAACGGGCATAAAAAGAGTTATAAGAGAATATATTCTCTTTTCAAAAGGCTTTTTTTTTATTAAAAAAATATCATATTAGCATTATACATAATTATTTTTAGTTTCGGCCTTAAAAAATGAAAATTGGATAACAAAAATTTAAAAATATAAAGAAGTCTAAAAATAGAAGAGAAATGGGATTGTCGCAAAATATAATAATAAAAATGAAATTTGTCATGATTTCGTTGATACTTCATGAATAATTTTTCATGTATTGGTGACATATTGTATATAGAGACAAGATATTCCACTCTATCAAGTTCATTTCCATTCGATAATTTACGGACCCGTAATTCTTATGGGACGACACCGTAAGTTTCGTCGTGGCGAAAAGCCCACCACGGTGGAGGGGTACCCGCTAGACTTACATGAAACCAAACCCACTATTGGCGGAAGTTGAAATGGAAGGGACACCAGTCTCATATATGTTCGACCACGCACGCTTCACAACCACTTCGAGCCTGTGACACGCGGTCCAAGGCTACGGTTGACGGTCAAGATCAAGGAAAAGAAACGAGAGGGTGAAGCTAGTCGTCAGGGAAATTATCACGCGATTTTCGTAGTGATAACGGTGCGCTTCAATTAGTGAGAGTCGACAAATTCGGCGATAAAAACAGACCACCATGAGGATAATCGCGCCGGTATTTTTGGTCTTCGGACTCGTTTTGCACGCCCATTGCATGGCAATGGAGAAGAACACGCCAAAGGAAGATGATACCGGTATCTTGGAATGTGTATTCACCAACAATGCCAGAAATTGCCTCAGAACAAGATTGGCCCGCGATCTGGACCAGATCGAATTAGAAGTTACCGGGAAGAAAAGCGAGCCACCGATGAGCGCGGTGATCGAACAAGCTGGCAATGTCATCGCTCAAGTCGTTGATGATCTGCAGGAGAATAATGCGGAAGAAATCGTCAAGGAAGATGATGCTCAGAATGACAATATAGGTGACAATTAGAAATCAAGTAGAAGTATCATTACACAATCCAAGGAAAACAAGAAAGTAAAAATAATATCATATTGACCGATCATGACAAATTGATATAAATTCGATCAATAATCAATCAATGTAACATTTTGATTTTCTTGTTTTCCTTGAGTTGAGAAAATTTCAATACTTTGTCAGTTTTATATATATATATATATAATATTTCTTATATTGATTTCTTAATTATCACTTTCTTTTCGTTCTATCAATTATTTCAAATTTTCTTAATTTTTTTAATAGAGAGGATGATATCCAAAAAAATTATATTGTAATGTTTGATAATAATTAATTGTTTACTACTTATTTTTTTAAGATGATACAAACCCTTGCTAACTTTCGTATAAACAAGGCATCACTGAATAGTGTGCCAGCATAATTAAGTTGTCGTAGATCGAGATCGACGATTTCGCAATTCAGATTTCTAATCGCGATGAGACGGCACGTGGAACGTGTGTAAGGTCGTCGTATCTTCTTTCGCACTTCCCGAGAGGCACCGTTGGACAAAGTCGGTTAACTCTTTCCGAACTCGTAACTGCCTCCTTTATTGGAGATGTAACAACAGGAAGTCGGTTCATCTGGAGTGCACTGAAAATTACTGTGCCGATTTTCTTCTCTATTACACATCTCATTTTTCTAGTTTTTCCGAAACCATGTCATTGAAATCTGTACTTAAGTAAAACAAGAAAACGTGAGAAAACTAATTTCAATATAAATTTGTTATTAATGAAGTATACTTAGCTAATTGCATTTATTTCATGTATATTTTTTATCAAGAAGGATACAATATTCAATACTTTTTTTATGCACATATATATAATTTTTTTTAACATTTTTTTAAGTAAACTTATCTATGATAAAATTAACTTTTCGTACATGTGATTTTCATTTACGGTTAACATTAATATCACAATATTTTCATATTAAATAATATTATATAAATAATATATTATAAGTAACTGTTTCCTTCAGCTATTAAATAAATATCGTAATTACAAGACAACTGGCAATTAACTTCGTAAGAAGTACCGTTTAATACTCGGAAACGGAGCCGACACGAAAGGAAGTAGTATTGACATGAATGAAATCTATGAATGAATAACAGCTTTAACTGTGTTTATCTTAGATCAATGCGGGAAAGTAAATCACATTGACAAGGCGAGGAAGTTTCACAGATTCGGGAAACGTACATCGCGATCATAAAGTGAACGGACTTACCGCTCGTCTGTATAACGTTTAAGCGACCGAGTGTCAATGCAAGCGTAAACATCATAGTTAACGCAAAAGGCGAACCGCAAGTTAACGAGCTATCGGAGATACCCACGAAGTTCCCGTCTGGGTCACTAGCGAGCTGTTTAAATGTTTTGCACGCAATTGTGCTCGTGTGCGCGTGTCGCCGACGTAAAGCAGTTTACGCTAATTTAATGCCACGACTTAGGTAAATCGACGGTAACGGTACGGATTGCATCACTCGCCATTTTCTTGGCTATTTTTTCCAGCAAAAGTCAACAAACGCGAATCATACGAGGGCGGAAGAAATAAGTGTTGGTCCGCAAATATATCATTTTTAATTCGCAGAACAAACGGGACGTTGCGTTTATATTAGGATTGCTCTAACGAGATATTAAGAACCTATCAAAAAAAACGACCTTCAGATTAATGAACAATAACGGTATTAAGAATATTATCTTCGTTATCTTTTGGAGCGTACAAAAAACTGTACGGTACTTCCAACGTAAATTGCCAACGACAAATTGAATAATTCGACAAGCATTACGCTAATTCGCTACGATTCATATCGATTTAACATTCCGCCGATGAGGAAAAATGGAACTTAGGTATCAATTAAATTTTACGATTCTCTCTACAGAATCCGCTCGGATAGTTTGATCGTTAGAACACGGAAGAGATATTTTTTTTATATTGTGAAAAAATTCGGCCGCGAAAGCGATCCGCGTGACTCTTTTTAAAAGAAAGTTGTACCGGTTGCGGACGATTACGTGGAGCGTAAGCCAGACGAAATACGCTCCAGGTTAAGGTTTGTAGGTCAACCTGCGTGGAGATCCTCGTAGTACGTTTGCCAGATTGCGTGCTTTGATTAAGATCGAATCATACCATGAATTTTCAATTATTCCATTACTTCCGATGTTCGTTTTCACTTGCAATTATCTACTACGTTTTCGCGTTTTACAATTCCATTTTGCGCATAGATTAACATCGCAGAAAATTGTAAGATGTAACACATAAATGTGTATAATTCTTTTAGAGGAGGCACGCAAGAAAAAGTTCAAGAAGAAACATCTGAAGAAAATTCTGGGATTAGTGATGCTGCTGAAAGCGAAACTCAGTCTATTGCTGCAGCTGATAAGCACTCACTTCCAGTTCAAGTTCTTCATCATCGCCATTATCTCGTTGATACTGAACGCTGCCAGATTTTGGATAGAGATCAAGAAGCCTTCGAAAGTCATCTACTACGAGCATGCACAGCATCAGCATCACTACGATCACGATGAGCACGGTTATTGGGGAAGATCATCGAATGAGACACCTCATGAACTCGCGTACCGCTCTTACGCACCCACGAACTGACATCAAGATCGCATGAATTTGACCAAGGGGACGATCGTTTTATGCGAGAAAGATCAAAGAAGAACCGAACGATGACGCAAATTTCATCGCGCTATGATTACCGTTTTATCGTTCTTTATTTATTTTATAGTTAATCTTTAGTCCGAAAGTCAGGAAATATCTGACGACACACGACGTCGATGTTTATACATTGTATAGTATTTATTTAATTTATTTCATGCTACGTCGGCATATGTTACACGATCATCTTGAATTTCACTTTAATTGATGATAGATGATCTAAGATTTCTCTGACCTCTAATTATCATATATAAAAATAGTACTCTTTAATATGTTATCGTCTTAAGTCATACCAAAGTTACTTACGAGAGTACCTGTTCTATCTCGCCACAAAGAGATTTTCTTATAGGATCAACTATTTTAATTAAAAGAACATACTATCACTCGTATCGTGACTCAACAAATCTTAAAGTTTAACGCCTCTCTCTGAATGTTTATCTTATGATATAAAATCTACATATGTAATGATAGTAGAAAAATTATATGTTTCTATAAAAAGAAATTCTTTGTAAAAGACAATAATAATTTATAATGGCAATTTTAGAGAAGCATGTACGATTAAAAATTTTTGATAATAAACTATACGAGTATACGATTTCTCCCGCGTGCGTTCTTTTAAAACATAATTGCAGATGTTACATTTATCGACAAAAAATCATCACGTTGCTACGGAGAGAAACTTTGGCGGTTCTGATGCACGAATCGCACGGCCTTCTTCAGCCGGTGGACCATCCTGAAATCTTTGTATTCCTCGTCATAGCACGGTGGCTAATGCGACTGGAATCCTTAAGGAGAGACGATACTTTCAGGGTGTTCACCTTGCTACTGATCGTTTCAATGATAAAAGCACGAGATTTGTGCAACGATTGCGGCTCATCGATGCTCTATGAACCGTAGGAAGAAGTTACTTACGAAAAAAATATCCGACATTTTTTTTAGAAACGTTAAAATAAAAAATAAAGAAACGTTGTTTCTGTAACTTACATATATAAATTTGAGGAAATAAAAATGTCCGTTTATTTAATTATTAAAAGACAATAGGAGGAAGAAATTATAGATATGTGTATACATGCGAAATAATCTACTATATTTTTTCCTATAAATTTGACGTTACAAAAATATCTATGTTTAACAATAAAATTTATAACTATTTTCTATGCAGAAACTATTGTTGTCAAAAAACTACTATGTTTTTTTTTTTCAGGAAAGATTATTATATGAAAAGGACGGTTTTGCTAAAATGTCTAAAATTTTAGCTAGTATAAATTAAAAAATAATTTTGTTCGGATCAAAATGATTATATAGAATGCTTAAACTAGTTGTTATAGAATGTCAAAACTTTTTTCGGTATTATTTGTCATGCTTGAATTTTCTACATAATATTTTGGTAGTTCAAACAAAATTATTTTTAGATCTAAATTTTTAAATACTTCAGCCAAATTATTCTTTCACACGAGAGTATCTTTTTATGTACATTATCAATAATCAAAAGTAACAATTTCGTAATGGGATACATTTTCTCATTGATACTATTAAGTATTCATATCCCGAAGAAATGCCGTTCGCGATGCGACCTTAACGAAGATATAAGACCCGCCTGGGGCTGCCCTCGAATTTCGACGGCCAAATTCGTGAGAAAGACATCTCATCTTCGATTGGAACACTGCCAATCACGGAATGGGACTAATGTGTCACGTTTGGGGGTAAAATAGGTGACGACGATATAGAAAATAAATCCGTGAGGTCGAAGAGTTATAACCAAAGCCAAAAGTTGGAATTAATGTAAGAATTTCGGCACATTTGTTCGTATGACATGTAATTTATATCCGGCCTTCGAAGTGCCATCTGTCTTTAGGATCCTTATAGACAATTCGACATACATGAAGACTTTTAAAATTAATCCTTTCTCAATAGAAGGACCTCTCTGACTGTTAATGTTTGATAAACTATTATATCAATTATCGTTGTTAATATTTTACAAACATCAATACGTTTCATAATTCAATAGAATTATTTTTTAATGTATTTAATACACAATTATAAAAAAAAATTGAAAACAATTGCACGGAACTATTTGTAATCACTCTGTACTGACAAATTCTATTAAAAAAAATTTAATACTATACTCAGCTAAGTTAACAGCCAATTGAAAATGAGCAAAGAATAAATTTATAAAAAAATGATGCAACAAAATATTTCTTTACGCTTTTAGAAATAATATAAATAAAAATTACCAAATGAGCACATTATCAAGCCGAAAGCAGCAGCATTTGCATCGGGCCTTCGAAGATGATGTGGACGTCTGACGATGGTCATTGGCAGACCAAACGTGATGGATTTACTGATTTCAGTGTACTAAGAATTGACCATTCATACAATATTCAAGATCTTTACGCACAGTTCACTATATAACACCCTTCTGCAAATAACATCATCAGTCTTCTCAAGATTCCCGAACACAGAACTACAATAAAACATTATATTTATCGAGGAATCAGCCGTAGTGACAAGAGACCACCAGCGCTCAAAGAGATAACACAAGAAAACACGCGTATTCCGCGATAATAGAATCATCTCATTAAAATCATGACACGGGAAAAGCTCTTCGCCGTATTGCTTCTCGGTCTTCTCGCGATAGCTCTTAGTTTACCTCAACAGCCGAAATCCAAAAGGCCTACTCCAGTATTTAAGGTTTTTATAAGTGTCGATATTTTTGTATTTCTCTTATCAACGAATTTTTCACGGATTATTGCGATTTACGATAATCGAAATTTCCAATCAAATTTTCTAGCAACCTAAAACTGGTGGCTTGCTGCTTCCCGACAACGCAACGCTCATTCGTGAGAACATCGTCGACACGTTTTCGTGCAAGGACCGAATTTACGGTTATTATGCCGACATGGAGAACGAGTGCCAAGTGTTTCACGTGTGCATGCCGCAAACGAGAAATTCAATTAGATGGAGTTTCATTTGCCCGGCCGAGACAGTTTTTAACCAAGTAAACTATTAATATTCCATCAGTAAAGTTTGATTTTGAGGCATTGGCTATGTTTACACCGTGCATTTAGGCCGCGGCCTAAACAATAGATGTCCTTGTTTATCCTGTAAGTTAAACAAAGATACCTATCGTATAGGTCGCGGACTAAGTGCACGGTGTAAACGTAGCCATTGAGTGGCTTGCCGCTTGGTACGATTGACACGCGATCTGTAGATTGGGATTTAATTTTAAATACGCGCAGATTTTTAACGTTTGAAGAGCCGATAAAATAACTCCACTAGTGATTAAGAGATCCTTCGACCAACACGGTTCGGATCTGGAGGTCCCATATATCAATGGATATAAATATATATATATA